TGGGTGCATCAGCCTGGGTTGAGTGACCTGCATGTACATCTTATTTACTATTGGGCTAAGAGCCAGCCCCTGGTGAGTTTTATTCCAGGTGTGAAGTAGTATCCGAGGGCTACAGTACTGGGGGTCCCACCAGACTTCATCCAACCAGTAATTCTTGTCATTATTGTGTTTTTGGATTTAGTTCCACATTTTTCCTCTCACTCTATCCAGTTTTGATCCTTTCCCGAATGGTTGGCATTGGTAGCCAGGCACCATCTAGTTCTTCTGGTCTCAAGGTCCATCACATCATAGGGCTGACTGCTTCCAAATATCCTTGGCATTTCTTTTCTTTATACTATTCTTCACTTCCAATGACAGAAGACCATTAGCTTTTTGATGTTTCTTGCATCATTCAACATATTGCCCATAGGATCTTTCAATATTGCAATTCAAGGCTTAAATTTTTTCCTCAGGTCTTCCAGCTTGAGAAATGCTGAGTGTGCTCTTCTCTTTTGGTTTTCTAACTCCAGGTCTTTGCACATTTCATTATAGTAATTGGCTTTGTCTGCTCAAGCTGCTCTTTGAAATCTTCTGTTCAGCTCTTTTATCCTGTTGATACTTCCATTTGACTTAACTACTCTCCATTCAAGGGCAAGTTTCAGAGTCTCTTCTGACATCCATTTTGGTCTTTTCTTCCTTTCCTGTCTTTTTAATGACCTTTTGCTTTCTTCATGGATGATGTTCTTGATGTCATCCCACAATTCCTTTGGTTTTCAGTCATGTGTGTTCAATGTATCAAATCTATTCTTTAGATGGTCTCTAAATTCAGGAGGGATATAATCAAGGTCATATTATGGCTCTCATGGACTTGTTTTAATTGTCTTCAGCTTCAACGTGAACTTGCATATAAGCAGTTGATGGTCTGTTCCACAATCAGCTCCTGGCCTTGTTTTAGCTGAAGATATTGAGCTTCTCCATCACTTCTTGCCACAGATATAGTCAATCTAATTCCTGCATATCCATCTTGCAAAGTCCACGTGTACAGCCACCATTTGTGTTGTTAAAGAAAGGTATTTGCAATGAATAAGTCATTGGTCTTGCAAAATTCTATCATGCAATTTCCAGTGTTATTTCTATCACCAAGGCCATATTTTCCAACTACCAATGATTCTTCTTTGTTTCCAACTTTTGCATTCCAATCACTGTTGATACTTAACACATCTTAATTGCATGTTTGGTCAATTTCAGACTGCAGAAGTTGGTAAAAATTTTCAATTTACTCATCTTTGGCTTTGGTGGTTAGTGAGTAAATTTGAATAATTGTAGTATTAACTGGTTTTCCTCATAGGCATATGGATATTATCCTATCACTGACAGCATTGTACTTCAGGATCAGTCTTGATACATTCTTTGTTATTATGAATGCCATGCTACTCTTCTTCAATTTGCCATTCCCAGCATAGTAGATCTTATGATCATCTGACTCAAAATGGCCAAAACCAGTCTATTTCAGCTCACTAATACCTAGGATATGGATCTTTGTACACTCCATTTCCTTTTTGGCAACTTCCAATTTTCCTACATTCATACTTCATACATTCCATGTTCTGATTTTTAATGGATGTTTGCAGCTATTTCTTCTCATCTTGAGACATGCCACATAAGTAAATAGAGGTCCTGAAAGCTTTACTCTATCCACATCATTAAGGTTGACTCTGCTCTGAGGAGGCAGCTCCTCTCAGTCATATTTTGAGTGTCTTCTGACCTAAGGGGCTCATCTCCTGGCACTATATCATAAAATGTTTCAGGGCTATTCAGAAAGTTCTCCAGAAATATATAAGACAACGTTCACTGCTATTCATAAGGTTTTCACTGGCCAATTCTTTGAGAAGTGGATGGACTCTACCTTCTTCTGAGTCTATCTTGTTCTAGAAGCTCCACTGAAACCTGTTCACCATGGGTGACTGTGGTAGTTAAATTGTATGTCAACTTGGCTGGGCCTGGTTGAGTGGCTTGTTATTCCCCATGATGAGAATGGCAATCAACTCCATGATGGGATCTACCACAAGCAGCTGAGTAGCTGCCTTTGGAATGTGGTCTGCTTCCTGTATATAAGGAGGAGCCTTGGGGATAGTCCCCATCTTATGGCATGCTTAGACCCTGCATGTAGCCATGTTGTTGTTCAGCAGCATGTTATGCTCTGCCTACCTTGGGACTTGTTGTTGTTGTTGTTGTTGTTATGTGCCGTCAAGTCGGACCTGACTCATAGCGACCCCTCCTTGGGTTTCCAAGGCAGTATCACTACAGAAGTAGATTGCCCAACCTTCCTTCTGAGGAG